CCGAGAAAGCACACTGCATATATACTATTAAATTATGTAAGTATTGACAATGATTTTTTTTCCTATACAAGAGTTGTTGATACAAACTCATTTGTACAGTTTTCACAACACAAACTGTTCCACTCCCTACTACATACAGCTCTTCATGTGAACTGCTTTACAGCCCAAAAAAATAAAAATAATTAAAACCTATATACCTTAGAAAATATTCGACGATAAATAATCTTGCAAGAAGTTGCGATTATTCGAGCAACTTGGAGAGTTAAATAAAACACTGTACATTCTCCAATGCTCGCCTTTTTTTTCTTTTTTTTTTTTACATATATAGCGCTCTACAAGTTCGCGTCACCGTCTTCACTAAGGTCATCTTCTTCGAATCCAATCTCGTTTTTTTGGTTTCTCAAAGTCGAAGGTTTGTTCGAGTTGCTTTCCTCTTCTGCAATTACTTCCAAAGGGTATGTCCTTTTTAGTGCCGGCCTTTTTTGAAACTTCTTCTTGCTCTGCATTGCGCCTTCGTCTCCTTTTAACATCCTCGCAACCTTTTTCCGCAAAACGAAACAATTAGCTTAATTTTAGTCCTCTGTGTTGGCCTATTTCGGGATTTAGTCCTCTAACTTGCCATGTTTCAGTTTTACATGCGCTAATATAGTATTTTAGGTCCTATTTTGCATTTTTTGTTAAATTTTAGAACGCGACAAATAAATTTGACGGATTTTACTTATGCTGACGCCTAAAACGTTATAAATTCGACATCTAAATTAGCCTTGATGAACTTTGATTATTGTGAGAGGAAGACTTTATAAGCCAAGTTAGAGGAGCATCTGTAATTTTCATGCATCCAAATAAATTTGTAAAATTCGGGACTAGAAATGCAATTTTGCATAGTTATTGCATCTCAAATTAAAATAGGACAACTTAAAGGACTAAATGCCTACACATACAACACACAAGACCATAATTGCAATTTTCCAAGAATTTTGATCCCAAAATAAATATTTGGCATTTTTTTTCTAAAAATAAAATATGTACCTGGTTCATTTGAGGCCTGTCTGTTGAACATTGATGAATACATAAAGAAGCAACCATGACCATCCGGTTCAGCTGATCCCAGTCGTAATCATCGTCGAGCGATGGATCGACTATCTCTGTGTTACTTTTATTATTTATCAGAGGTTTGGCCTGCAATTTTATTTTTTTTAGCAATAAAAAATATAAATTGATTTTAATGTATACATGTAGAACGTATAGTTTCGACTATATATATATATATATATATATATATATATATATATATATATATATATATAGAAGCTAAATAACGTACCCACATCACGACACTATTATGTGCGTCGTCTATAGCCGGGCGGCCACTAATAAGCTCTAGCAATAGCACTCCAAATGCGTATACATCGGTTTTTACATCGACTATGCCGTGCATGAAAAACTCCGGAGGAAGATATCTGTATCCCGTGCAAACGAAAAAATTAGGACTACATTTGACTAAAAGTCGAGGATCTCTCTTATAACTATATATGTATATATACATAGACGCA